CACCTTAACACACAGACACACACACACACACACACACANGAGACACACNCTTAACACATAGACACACACACACACACAGACACACCTTAACACAAAGACACACACACACACACACACACACACACACACAGACACACACCTTAACACACAGACACACACACACACACAGAGACACACCTTAACACACAGACACACCTTAACACACAGACACACACACACACAGAGACACACCTTAACACACAGACACACACACACACACACAGAGACACCTTAACACACAGACACACACACACACACACACACACACACAGAGAGACACCTTAACAGTTTCATAGTTGATGAGGGAGTCGACGGCCTTATTCCCGGCTTCCTGATCCGCCCTATTCATCTGGATCCGGAACTTCGTGCGCCAGGAGGTGACGGAGAAGGTGTAGGCCGTGTAGACGCCGATGCAAGCCAGGGACACCAGGGCGTATTCCACGCCACATTTGTAGTACTGGGTGGATGAATTGGTGGGTAGGTGGATGGATGGATTGGTGGGTGAATTGGTGGGTAGGTGGATGAATGGTTTGGTGTATGGATTGGTGGGTGAGAAGATGGATTGGTGAGTGGATGGATTTGTAGATGGATTGGTGGGTGGATGGATGGTGGATGGATGGATGAGTGAATCGGTGGACGGATTGATGGGTGAATGGAATGGTGGGTAAATGGATTGGTGGGTAAATAGATGGGTAGATGGATGTGTGGATGGATTTTTGCATGGATTGGTGGATGAATTGGTGGGTGGATGGATGGATGGATGGAGAAATTGGTGGATAGATGAGTGGATTGGTGGGTGGATTGGTGGATAAATGAGTAAATAGATAGATGGATGAAGAAGAGAATTGTTGATTGTACAAATGAATGAAAATGTATAATAAATGAATGGATGAATTAATGGATAAATTAATAGACGGATGAATAATGAACGAATGAATGAATGAATAAACTAAAAAATGAATTAATGATTGAAGGAACACAGGAGTGAATTAATGATTGATTAAAAGAACGAATGAAAAAAAAGATGAACGAATAAATGGACGAATAAATGATTAATCGATTATACGAATGAATGAAAGAACAGATAGAAGAATAAAGATATAAAAACCCCACATCCACCCACCTACCAAGACACCTGTGACCAGCCCCACCTCGAAGATGGTGGGGACGATGTTGAAGACGATGGCGCTCAGGATGAAGTTCAAACCGCGCGTTCCCCTGTCTATCGCCTGCCGAAATGGCGGGAAATTGAAAAGTGGCGGAAAATTGAAAAGTGGCGGGAAATTGAAAAGTGGCGGAAATTAAAACATGCTACATCGTTATCATCACCTATCTCCACCATTTTTTATCACCATCATCAACTACAATAACAGACAACATTATCATCATCATCATTTTCAACATCAACAACAACAACACTGTCATCATCATCATCATTTCCAACAACAACATCATCATCAACAACAACATCATCATCATCATCATCATTAACAACATTATCATCATCATAATTTTCAACAACAAAAACAACATCATCATTATTACCATCATCATTAACAACAATGATTGTATCAAATATCATCATCAACCATAACATCATCATCATCATCAAAACTACCTTAGATAGGGCACCGGTTTGCCTGGAAAGATGGAAAGAAAGATCAAGTGAGTGTAGGTGGAGGAATACCTAGAGGTAAAGATGATGATGATAACAGAAACGGATAAACATCTAAAATGTGATCAATCAACCATCCAACCAACCAACCAATTAACCAACCAGCCAGCCAACCATCCAACCAACCATCCAACCAACCAACCAACCAGCCAACCAACCATCCAACCATCCAACCAACCAACCAACCAACCAACCAACCATCTAACCTACCAACCAACCAACCAGCCAACCATCTAACCTACCAACCAACCAACCAGCCAACCAA